TGCCCCATCATTGGTATTAGTGGGAGGAATAGTGCCCCATCATTGGTGTCAGTGGGGATAATATAGTGCCCCATCATTGATATTAGTGGGAGGAATAGTGCCCCATCATTGATATCAGTGGGTGGAATAGTGCCCCATCATTGGTGTCAGTGGGAGGAATAGTGCCCCATCATTGGTGTCAGTGGGGATAATAGTGCCCCATCATTGGTATTAGTGGGAGGAATAGTGCCCCATCATTGATATCAGTGGGTGGAATAGTGCACCATCATTGGTGTCAGTGGGAGGAATAGTGTCCCATCATTGGTGCCAGTGAGGGAATAGTTCCCCAGCACTGATGTCAGTGGGAAAAACATTGTATCAGTGGGGGAATATTACCCTATCATTGGTGTAATAGTGCCCCATCATTGGTATTAGTGGAAGGAATAGTGTCCCATCACTGAGGGGAATAGTGCCCCATCATTGGTGTCAGTGGGAGAAATAGTGCCCTGTTGTTGGTGTCAGTAGAAGGAATAGCGCTCTATAGTTGGTGTCAGTGGGAGGAATAGTGCGCTAATATTGTTGCAAGTGGGAGAAATAGTACCCAATTATTGGTGTCAGTGTGGGGGATATTGCCCCATCATTGGTTTCAGTAGAGGGAATAGAGCCCCATCATTGTTGTCAGTGGGAAAAGAAGTGGCCCATCATTTGTGTCAGTGGGGGAATGTGGCCCCACCACTGGGGTCAGTGGGGGTAATAGTGCCTTATCATTGCTATTAGTGGGATGAATAGTGGCCCATCATTGGTGTCGTAGTGTGAATAGTGCCCTGTTGTTGGTGTTAGTGGGAGAAGTAGTACCCCATTGTTGGTGTCGGGAGGGGGGGGGCTAATGCTGCATTATTGGTGTCAGTGGGAGGAATTAGCGCCCTGTTGTTGGTGTCCGTAGGAGGAATAGTGACCCATTGTTTGGGGCACTGGGAGGTATATTGCCCCATGGTGGATGTCAGTAGTAGATATAGTGACCCATTGTTGGTATCAGTAGCAGGAATGCCAGTGGTAATAATAGTGTCTTGTACCAATAGGAGGAAATGTGCCCTATGTGCTGGATAAAGAGAAGCAAAGGGCCGCAGTTTGGAGACTGATGTAGGGGGTAACTTGCTGTGGTGTTGCTGGCATTTGATCTGTTGAGGTTCCTGTACCTGGGATACTTAAAAGAGAAGGGTTCAGGGATCGGAGTTGGACCTTTTGTTGGAGGTTGGTTATGGGAACATACAGAACCATACATGGAGAGATGTAGTGGAGAGGTGTAAGTACATAAAAGAGAAGGGCTCAGGGATTGGAGTTGGACCTTTCGTTGGAGGTTGGTTATGGGAACACACAGAACCATACATGGAGGATGTAGTGGAGAGGTGTAGGTACATAAAAGAGAAGGGGTCAGGGATTGGAGTTGGACCTTTCGTTGGAGGTTGGTTATGGGAACACACAGAACCATACATGGAGAGATGTAGTGGAGAGGTGTAGGTACATAAAAGAGAAGGGGTCAGGGATTGGAGTTGGACCTTTTGTTGGAGGTTGGTCATGGGAACACACAGGACCATACATGGAGAGATGTAGTGGAGAGGTGTAGGTACATAAAAGAGAAGGGGTCAGGGATTGGAGTTGGACCTTTTGTTGGAGGTTGGTTATGGGAACACACAGACCATACATGGAGAGATGTAGTGGAGAGGTGTAGGTACATAAAAGAGAAGGGGTCAGGGATTGGAGTTGGACCTTTTGTTGGAGGTTGGTCATGGGAACACACAGGACCATACATGGAGAGATGTAGTGGAGAGGTGTAGGTACATAAAAGAGAAGGGGTCAGGGATTGGAGTTGGACCTTTTGTTGGAGGTTGGTCATGGGAACACACAGGACCATACATGGAGAGATGTAGTGGAGAGGTGTAGGTACATAAAAGAGAAGGGGTCAGGGATTGGAGTTGGACCTTTCGTTGGAGGTTGGTTATGGGAACACACAGGACCATACATGGAGAGATGTAGTTGAGAGGTGTAGGTACATAAAAGAGAAGGGGTCAGGGATCAGAGTTGGACCTTTTGTTGGAGGTTGGTCATGGGAACACACAGGACCATACATGGAGAGATGTAGTGTCATACTTTTATGGGTTCCCCCCTGACAGGGGTTGCCTCATGGCCATGTGATTAATGAAAACTGTCTGAAGAGGAATTGTACATCTATACTAACTTTATTCAGTAAACTGAGTTGCTGGTTAAGTGAATCATCTGGTCTGATTAATAAGGGTGCAAAGTGAAAGCGAAATCCTGCAGTGTATGGGAATGTGCAATGAAGTGTAAATCTTTATGCCAACCTTCAGGGTGATGGATAAACAAGAGGTAAAAGAGAAGCAGCCAGTTTAGGAGAGGAGGTGAGATGGTGGCCAGTGGTGGAGGTTCTGTTGGAGGGGTAGATTGGTGGCTGTATAATTTACCTGTCCATGCAACAGGGACCCCAAGTTGGAGCCATCTGTGCAGCAGGACTCTCCTATGGACTGGACCTGGACCACAAGTGTGCAAGGCCTTGCAAAATGTACATCAGCTTCCCTCCATATCTCCAAGTTGAAGAGTAAGTGTAAAGGTCAATGTGTAAAAGAACTGGTGATGGAAAATTATCGTTTCACACTATTTTTCCTTAAAACAACTTCATAGTCGGTGCCGGGACAGGTGTCACTGGTAGGTAAAAAAACATTATCCTTCCGGTGCAATATGGGTCACTAACTCACACAAGAAGCGATTCCATCATGTTGACTCTTGATGGAAGTAACTATATATACTTAATGGCATGCAGTTCCCCTGAAGAGGATACAGGGGGTCTCCTAGGATGAGATCAATGTTTTACACATCCTGACAGATTGGGATGTTCAGACAGGTACAGTCCTCAGTTCATCAACTTCCACACAAGCTCAGAGGGCTGTGTGAGACCAAAGCCCTTATCTTCTGTGTTACAATGGACTTGCTGTCATAAGGGGTAGGAAGGAAGGAAAAAGAGAAAGAGAGAAAGAAAGATAAGAAGGTGGAAAAGATAAGAAGGAAGGAAAGGGAAGGGAAGGGAAGGAAAGGGAGGAAAGAGAAGGAAAAGGAAAGGAAGGAAGGAAGGAAGGAAGGAAGAGAAAGAGAAAGAAAGAAAGAGAGAAAAAAAGGAGGAAAGAAAGATAAGAAGGTGGAAAAGATAAGAAGGAAGGAAAGGGAAGGAAGGAAAGAGAAGGAAGGAAAGGGAAGGAAAGGGAGGAAAGGGAAGGAAAGGAAAAGGAAGGAAAGAGAGAAAGAGAGAAAAAAAAGGAGAAAAGAAAGATAAGAAGTAAAGGAAAAAGAGAAAGAGAGAAAGAAAGATAAGAAGAAAGAAAAGATAAGAAGGAAAGGAAAAAGAGAAAGAAAGATAAGAAGGAAGGAAGAAAGGAAAGAAGGAAAGGAAGGAAGGAAGAAAGATAGAAAGGAAGAATGAAAGAAAGGAAAGAAAGAAAGAAAGAAAGAAAGAAAGAAAGAAAGAAAGAAAGAAAGAAAAAGAGAGAAAAAGAGAGAAAAAAATAAGAAGGAAGATAAGGAAGGGAAGGAAGGAAGGAAGGAAGGAAAGGAAAGGAAAAAAGAAAGGAAAGGAGAAAAGAAAGGAAAGGAAAGGAAAAAAGAAAGGAAAGAAAGAAAGTAAGAAAGAAAGAAAAAGAGAAAAAGAGAAGAAAAAAATAAGAAGGAAGAAAGGAAGGGAAGGAAGGAAGGAAGGAAAGAAAGGAAAGGAAAAAAAGAAAGGAAAGGAGAAAAGAAAGGAAAAGAAAAAGAAAGAAAGAAAGAAGGAAAAAGATAGCAGGGAAAGGAAAGGAAAGAAAAGAAAGGAAGGAAGAAAGAAAGAGAAAGAAAGAAGAAAGAAAAGAAAGATAAGAAGAAGGAAGGAAAGAAAGGAAAGAAAGAGAAAGGAAAGAAAGATAAAGAAAGAGGGAAAGGAAAGGACATAGATAGAGATTCTCTCCCTGTCTCATATTCAGTTTTTCTATATGATGATCTTGTATGTTCTGCAGATCATGTGATAACATATCTCTCCATGTAGAGAAGTATGTTATCTTCCATTGAGTGTCAGTTTCTTGTCTATCTAGTGTACATCCGGTAATGTATGAACTGCCTGATATAAATATTACCTGTGGTATATGATGATTGCTGATAGAACATGTTTTATATGAGATGCGGCATACACTGCTCCCATCGGCCATCCCAGCACCATGACTCATAGAGCCATTTCCATCACATTGAATGTTTTCACCCCGTTTACTGGAAGATCATCTCTTAGAAATGAAATGACGCACTAATGACCAGAAATGACAAAGTCATCCTAAGGTGCCTCAGTCACATTAATTATGACACATTTTAATGTCCTGAACATGTAAGAGAGAAATCTGCACTACAGACGTGTGAAAGGAGCTCATAAATCCAGAGAGTCTACCAGTCAGAAGTCAACTCTGTCTCAATGAATCACAACCTCTTCAGATGCAGAGGACGGTCAGGTTTTGCACACTTACAGGCGGTCTCCTAAGATGAGATCAACATTTTACACAATGTGACAGTTCATTGCCTTCCACAGGAGCTCAGAGGACTGTATGAGTCCTGAGCCCTTATCGGAAATCTTGTTACAATGAAATGACTGCTTGTTGAGTAGGTGCAATGTGGTGTGGCAGCAATAAACACACAGAGGCTCAGAATGTAGGAAATGATGTATTGTAGAACAAGAGTACAACAGCTCAGCATGGAAGCTCACCCAGCCAGGAACTTACAACAAACAGAGCAGAGAGCAGACCCAAATAAAAGGCAGCACTTTTGCCAAGGAGAACTGAATGCGGCCTGGCTGGTCCAACCCAAAATTGGAGCTTTCTGAAGTTGTAGACATAGGCCCCTAAGCATTTGTACATGCGTGTCAAAACCCAGGGGCAGGGACTTAAAAAAACTCTGTGTTAACCAAGATGGCCACCAGGGTCACCTGAATCCAGCATAGC